AATGAGATGAGATGAGATAAAAACAAGTCTAATTTATTCTAAATCCGTGAGGTCTATGATTATAGAGTTGGGTTGAGGCTGAGAACAAGCAGTAAAAGGTGGAAGAGAGTAGTAGCGGACTGTTCTAGACAAGATGTTAGTAGGAAGAGTTCTATATTTTGGGGTTTCCTCTAGCGCTGTAAAGAAGTTATTTCTATTGGTTTCTACGGTTTTTTCTACGATGGACACGTCCTCTTCTACAAGATTTATGAGTATGTAGTCAGGGGAATAGGTAGAATGAAGGGTACAATGGTAGCGCTTAGTTTCTATGTAGTTCCAAAATCTATCTTCTGCTTCTGTTACTTTTATTTTTTCTACTCTTTCAATAACTGTAATGTTATCCGGGTGGTTGTGGTAATATCTACTAGCTTCTTCTGCAATTGTACTGTCTATTTGTCTAATAAATGACAAAACTTCCGGCATTTGTTCTTCAGAAGGCCATTGTTAGTAGTAAATGTTTTGGGGACAAAAGGTTAAGAGAAGCAAGGAGATATGTTAGTCACAGAATTCCAATTAGGCCAGACCCCCAATTGTCAGCCTCTGGGTAACTAACCTGAGTATTTAATAGTAAAAAGGTTGTTACTATGAGTTGACTGAAGTTTTTGAGCGTGGTGAGTGTTAGGTAGTGGGTGATTAATACCATTCCTGTAAAGAGGAGGTTTCACTCTATCAGTATGGTCTTTACTGAGAGGCTTGCTATCAACAGCGCATCCGGATCAATACAAGGTATTAATAGGCATCCAGGGTACTAAGACTCACCTGGGATTGATTTGGTTATTCCCAAAAGGGAATGGGCTAACAATACTTATTAAGCTTTAACAAAATTAGTTGAAGATTAACAGGTATTGTTGATGGGAATATTCAGCAAGGCTATGAATACTGTGGATAAGTTGAGTAAGAGTACTGAAGCTTAAGAACAATAAAGGTAGACAAGATTTATGTTGGTTACGGGTACTGTATCAATATAAATGTTAACTGGTTTAACTGGTGTCTGAATATTCTGGGGATTAATCAGTGAAAGAGGCACGGATTATAAGTTCCAGAATATTGAAGGAGGGAAAGAATGAGCGCTCAGAATCAAGGGAGCTTTGGCCAGGAGAATGAGCACATCAATTGAGTGACTGATCATTATTTGTCATGATCTGTAAGTGACATCATAATTGTGTACTAGTTGATCAATCTACTAGTTGCTCTTGATGCGTGCACTTGACAGATCCTCTAATAATGTAGTCATAATTGTGATCAGTGCATGTATTGAATGTATTAATTCTATTGACACTTAATACTTACTATCAACGGTGGGCCAGCTACGCTAACCGTAGTGTTAGCGTAGCGTAGTGTAGCGAAAAACCGCTACACTTTAGCGTAGCGTTAGCGCTTTTCTCATTTTCTGCGCTAACGCTACGCGCCTGGGGAAAAAACTTGCGCTAGCGTTTAGCGTAGCGTTAGCGCGATTCCCCCCATCTGCGCTAACGCTACGCGCGCAGGGCGCAAAAAAACGCCCGCTACGCTGCGCTACAGCAGTTTTTAGCGGTTTTTAGGCGTTTTTTGCCGCTAAAACGCTGTAGCGTAGCGTAACGCAGCGTAGCGGCGCCAGAGGCGCGCTAACACTACACCAAAAATTGGCAAGTGTTAGCGCGCTACGAATTAGCGTAGCGGCGCGCTAACACTACGCGAAAAAAAAAAATGGCGCCGCCCCGTGTAACGCTACATGGGCCCGTAGCGTAGTGTAGCGTAGCGGCCCACCGCTGTTACTATTTAATACATGTACATATTTATTTGTAATAATATTTGACCGTGAAAATACTGTAGCAGAGGGATAACTTGTGGTACAGGTATTTCACGGACAAGGGAGTGAAAGGTAAGTGATAATTACTTATGTAGAACACAGGTATGTATTTAATAGATAAGTAATTAACAGATAAGATAACTGTAAGATAAATAAGATAAGTTAATAATAAAGATAAGATAACAAGAGGTAAAGGTAATCAACATTATGGATAAGTACTTATGTAAATAAGTACAGGTGTTGCAGTTACTTGGTACATGAAAGGTACTGTGACATGTACTCTGTGGCTGACATACAACGTGCTTGACAGACAATCATTCCTGCTATAGCCTTGCGAGCCCTGTTGACGACCGGTTTGGTGGTTGACAGTGGTGTTTGTTTGGTGATGGATGATTGTCAATTGGTTGGTGTTGGATAGGATGATGGATTGGTTGGATGTTTGATGAAAGGTATTTATGTGTATGAGCTGATCCTCTCTGAACCAGCAGAGAGGTGGTGAGGACCTAGAAACATGATGGTAACCCTCGGGTAAATTAAGAGGCGTGATATTTACAGTTTTTGGGTCTAAATGGATATCTGCGGGGCCCGAAGAACCAACGGGAAGTCCTCCAGTCATTAGCATAAAAGTGAAGACTTTCAATATTAGATCTCTCCACTTTATATCAAGTTTTGTGTAGAAGGAAGAAAAAATGCCCATTTTTCAAAGTTGAATCCTACAGTGGATGACTGGATGACTTCCTGTCAATATCTGTGGGTCTCCCAGAAGCGATTTAGAGCCTCGAAAGCTACACAGCGGGCTCACCCCGATGCCACCTTGTTGGTGGAATTCATGTCAAAATGACATCATTCACTGAATGGGAAATTTGATGTGAAATGACATCCACCCATGCCCTACATCATTACTGCATCACAGCCCTCATTGGGTAAGATGTTGTTGATGATGAGAATTGGAAATCAAAAGCTAACTATCTCATCCCTCAAAATAAGGATGAGAAAGCAGACCAAGCTTGCAGTAGGCTGTGGCTGGCAGCAAAAGACATCCAGGACAGGGATCAATCCTTTGCAACGGTACTAACAACGGTGGGCCACAAGTTACAGCTAACCGTACAACTAACAAAAGTTACAGAGTGAATACTTCAGTTATCCAGGAAAATGAAATCATCAGGGATTGGTCTTTCCTGTTCCTTGAAGTTGTGTGAGAAATTTTCTTTGTTGGTCAAGTCAATGATTTTAAATTATTAGATGCATGACCAATGATTCAGCTGAAATGTTAGCTGAAAAATTGGTCATGGATCTAATAATTATAAATAAATGACTGGACCAAAAGACTTTTTGTTCCACACAACTTCAAGGAACAGGAAAGACCAATCCCTGATGATTTAATTTTCCTGGATAACTGAAGTATTCACTCTGTAACTTTTGTTAGTTGTATGGTTAGCTGTAACTTGTGGCCCACCGTTGGTACTAACAGCGGCCATTGTAGCTGATGCTGCTAAAAACCACTTGATGGCCAAGGGGCAAGTTTTACAGGTTTAGTACCACCTCCTTGTTGTTTAGTTGTGTAGTCAATATTTTTTTTTCTAAGTCTCCTCTTTCATCACAATTTTTTTTTCAATAATCAATTTTCTCAAATTTTCAGGGTAAAAAACCCCATTTGAGACACATTTGTGCTGTCTTGAAAAATAAAAAAATTTGACATCATTTACAACGTTGTACCAGGGAGTCGGGCAGAAGTACCAATCTGTTCCGCCCTGATCAAGATGGGGTGAGCAGCGGATCAAATCAGATTGTTGAATCCAATGTGGTTTCCACTGCAACATCAAAACCAATGGCCCTGTTCTCTGACAGGGGAGCCTGTGTTGTCATTCTTGACATTGGTGAAGACGTGTTCACAACATCTGCGTCGTTTAGCATTGTGTTAACGTTGTAGGCTACATGAAGAAGAGACCAATGTGGTTGTTAACATCACGAAGGCTGGATCCGATGTGATCTCCACCGTCACAACAAATCCAACGTCTCAGAATCAAAAAAGTGAGCCCGTTGTGTAGATTTCACAGCAAAATTATAGACTTTTTGGGTCTAAATTGACATCTGCGAGGGTCCCAGATCCGACGGGAAGTCCTCCACTTCCCGTCGCGGTTTACAACCCTCCCAGAATTCAATTTACAACCCCTAGATCTTAATTTTTGGTAGATGAAATGGAGGACTTCCTGTTGGATCTGGGACTCTTGCAGTTTTTGATTTAGACCCAAAAAGTCCAGAACTGGGAGACCCACAGATGTCAACGGGAAGTCATCCAATTATTTTTTCACAAGCCTTGTGAAGATAGCTCTCATGTGAGCTGGTTGGAATTATGATTGTGGTGTTAATTTAGGACTGAGGAGGGCTTAAAAAGCACTCTAAATAGCAATGGGAAGTCCTCCAGTACTGGCCCTTAATCTAGCCCCCATGGAGCTAAAGTCAAAATCATAGTTGTTTTTTTAAACAAGACATTACTCTTACACACCTCAAAAATGGGAAAGATCAAGTGCCAATGTAGCCATGGGTAAAAAATGAGCTCACAGTGAAGGGTTCAGGAGTGGCATTATTTTTTCGATGGCCAATGTTTCAAATTCACCACATTTCAAATGCAACAAATTTACAGACTACTTCACAGAGTGATTAGATAAATTTCTGTGAATTTGATTGGCATATTCTTATGGGGCATCTCAGGACATTGTAGACGTGGATCTCATGATTCTGGATATTAATATGGAAGATTTATTGAGAAAACAATCCTAATATCCCGGTGTTGTAAAAATTTCAGTCTCCTTGACAAAGCTTTCAAATCATTAGGAGTCGGGTAGTGGGCCGGCTATGCTTTTGAGAACGAATTACGCATCATTAATTATTCCCCCACACGAGTCCTGGTACCTGACGGCCGGCAAGATAGGACTTACGCAGAATTCTCCAAGGCCAGGTTCGTTTTCGTTTACTCAATTCGTGTTATGGATGTTTTGGTGAGAAATCGTTTGTTTGAATATCTCCAAAGATAGAGCAGGTCTGTAGGATAGGAGTCACAATCATAGATTTTCAGTTCATGATAAGATGAAATGACTGAGAGGGCAGGACACTGACTGGAAAGCTGGCACTTCGTGGCCTGCATTGTATACCTTGATGTACGTCAAGGGACCTAGGGAAGGGCAGTACACTTAGATCCATGTGATCCGTCGCTTGGATTCGAGTGAAAATATTGGGGCTCAGAAACAAAGTCACCTGTAGTTTTGTAGACGCCTCCTACTTTGCCATGGACGGTAAGGTTCTTCCACGGAGCCTTGGCGAACTGTTTGGAATACTTCCATTTTGTAGCCAAGAGAGATCGATAGACTCCCAACCTATAATCCAACAAATATAATTTTTCAGAGAAATGTTATCGAACTCAAGTCAAAAGCAGTCCATAATGTCAAAATGACGGTACGAACGAGTTGCAAATAAAGTCTTTATCCTACCCAGAGCAAGAAAAAAAAGTACTTATTAGCCTCCGTACACCACCTGGTAATTAATTTAACTGCACTTACTCCAGCCCAGATAACTGTGCGAAGCCCTGAGTCAAGTAATCTACCCAAAGAAGAAATCGTGGGCCTGACAGCGTCCGCAGTAGTCCAGAAATCATCACCGATACTGAAGAATAAATACAAAAAACGCGCTTGGAGTATCAGTTTCCGCCAGACTGCTAGACATAAACAGGTAGGACGAACTTGTCTTGACAGGCCGAAAACTGGGTTTCGGCGCCAATTGCCCGCTTAACGTCGCTACGATCCAAATATTTCAAAAACTGCGACAGAGGCATAAGTCGCCAACTGAGCACATAATTTGGGATCTACTGGTTGGTGAGAGAGGGAATATGTTATCGCAGAAAATTGTCTTACCGATAGGGAAGGGAAAGTATCGTTTTTGCTGTTGGGGACTGGGACATGAACGTCTCACGTCAGGCTTTCCCCACTCTCAACGCCGGTAAACAAATCATGGCTCACAGTAGTAAGTACTTCTGTTTCCAAGCAGCGGGGCCGATACGTATTGCGCACAGAAATTGTCGGTGTCTTGGCAAACGTCGTTGCTGCCGTTATTGGCACAATTCTTTAACTGAACAAGACATCCATTCTTGTGATTGAGAGCCGTTTTGACGACGGCCAGAGTCGCCGCATTTGCCATATCAAGCACGTGGTTGAATTGTTTTTGGGCGTAGTCGTAGTAGGATTGGTACTAATGAGTAGAAGGTCCAGCAAAAGTGTCAACGAATGATTCTTGCCGGCTGGCTGGAGGACAAATGGTCAAAAACTTGCCTGAACGTAGGGATCAAACCAGCCGTTGTTCTATGGAAAAAAAAGCCCATCGTCCTGGTCAGCAAAGCACATTTACCGATTCATCGAGTTGATAAAAATCTTACAATTCCCAGAGATGTTACTTGTATAGTATGTGCTTGCAGTTTCTTGGCTTTAATCAGCGCATTCTGGGCCCGGAAATACTGGTATTGTGAAAACGCATGTATTGAGTTTTTGTTTGATGAGTAACTTTGCTCAGGAGAAAGCAGTCAAGATACTGACTTCTGTAAATTTTGGACCTGTGGATATGGGAGCAAAGTCGAAAATTCATCTTAGAAACCTACCCGGAAATGAGAAAATGCAAGATATTCTGAAGTTTAACGGCTGAAAAGGGGATGGTGAAGAGCTCACCGTAGTGTCCCCCATAGCTTTCGGACCAAAAAGTCATCTCCCGGCTCGCGTATTGGGAAAACGTGGGAATGGAAAAAAAAGTTTGGAAAAACTCCCAGACGCGGGCCGCTGCTTGATCTGAGCTAAATACGTTCCGGTCGCCATACGAAAAACCAGTGGCGATTGGCTGTCAAAAGAGTTTGGTATAATTTAGATTCATGACCTCCTGCGGCGCACCGTACAATCAGAACTCATGGTTCAAAGGTTGCTCACCTGGTCAATGTAAAGCATATTCTGGTAGGATGAGAGATGATCAAAGTAAGAATCAGTACAAGTAAAGGTATTGGGGTAAGCAAAAACTTAGAAACAGAACAACGGGTAATAAGGCTCACAGCGTAAGTGTTCCAGGAATAAGGATTCAAGCTTGACTGAGTGGATTCAGCATTAATACGACAAGGGCCGTTCTCTTGCAAGGCCCCAAATAAGCTACTGCAACCAGGCCCTCCCTGGAAATAAAAGATAGGATTTCATTAGCTGGCTTTAATCAGAAAAAGATACTCAAATTTGCGAAGCGCTTACATTTAACCACAAGCCTAATGGTGCCGTTTTGGGGTTGTTTCGTGCTTCAAAAAACCAAAAGAACATTGACTGGTTGTTGCCGGTATCAATGTACCCAGAATAACTTTTGACGCCGGGTGTCGTTTCGCATACTCTACTATCGACCATGTATCGATAAGACCCTTTGACATGTCTCTGTCCATGCGAGATCTGTTTAGGAAAAATCCTAAACGCCTCGCTATGGTAGATGGCTAGCCAAAGAATCAACAACCGAAAAAGCATGACGGGGTTCGATAACTGAATGGCGAGGGTTGGAAATCGTCCCGGAAGGTAAGCAGCGGTTTTAAAGTGAGGTCTCCCGGCTAACAACACGTCTTTTGGCTACGATGGGGATTGATGTGCGAGAAAACAAAGGACTAATGTTGCAGTAAAAAGGGTGAGTGACCAACCAAGGCGTATGATATATTATCTATCCCCGGTTCCCCGTTGATGAGTGTGCTGAATGGAAAATGGCTAGCCGTAACAGGGTTAAGAATGCACGGTAATATTTTCTATGTCCAACGGGATGGCCACTGCTGACCACCAACCGTCAAGACGCGCAATAGATGATCGACATGCCACCACTGTTGCTTTAGGCACTAACAGAGGGGTTACCCTACTCACAGGACGTGTCAAAAAAGTGGATGTCAAAGAAAGAGCCTTAGACTGCCTTTGTACATGTGCTAAAAAAGACTGGGTAGATGCCCTAGGAGGGTAAAGGATCAACGGTAAGGAAGATTCTTAGAGTCCTTTCAGTAGATGCGAGTTGCACTGAATCTTCGCATGAAAGGAAAAGCCACTGAGATGATTGAAAACTCGCCGAGAATTTGATGAGTATGTGAAGGTATGTACAATGGTACATGCAACCCAACAGCGGCCAGCTCTCGTGCGTTGTTCGAGATGATGTCCGATGAAAAGGCTTCCGGGTCCTGATGGACTGAAGCGATCTCCGGGGGCACACTGTGCGCAGGTGCTTGACGTTTACCAGCCTCATCTGTCGAGGAATCGCTCCAGGGGTTTGTTTCCGGCGCGTTCCTCCGAAATATTTCTCAACGGATGGTTAGTATGTAGCAACGATATGATCATCGAATACCAGCACGGTTTCAAGTGAAGTGCCTCCGATGTCTTTTCCTCATGTATTACATAGTAATCGCAAACTCGCGTCTTTGGTACTCAGAGTCCAAGTTTTTATACTGCCACGATCAGTTAGGCATTGTAAGTTTTGGTGCATTTTTCCATCGTCTTCCTTGCGCTGGCTTGAGCCCGAGCTAGCTATTGTTCTCAGCTACATGAACTAAGTCCTGTAGACCACAAAGGCACCTCCCTATGGAGCCAACATACATACATGAACAACAGGTGTACCGGCACCTAAAGTATGCGGGGAATGGAACACCCCCCAAATTCATTCACGCCTTTACGCGCTCGAAAGGAGTGTGGGTTGCTTGAGACTAGAAATATACATGAGGTAGCTGAAGGAATGCCGCACCATAGACAGATCCCCAATGTCTTTGACCAATGACAACAAGAAATGATGATGTATAGGTTTACCTAAGGAGGTTTTGTATTGATCAGTGAAAGCCAGCAGATCTTGTACCAGGTTTCTGAGGTAGCTTCAAGCTGATGGTATGTTTTGTAGATGTCTCCAGGAAGTCAATTTTGGCTCAAAGTTCTTGGGAAATAATTCAAGATCAGGTTTAAAAATGGATGCTAGAGTCTAATGCAAGGGTAATGATGGTGACTGTCTGGGATGGCAGTAGTTGAAAATTGACTGGGGAAAGTTGAATGTTGCATGGAGGACACTCCAATGGCAAGTTACAGAATAGAGGAGAATTCAGTTTGTCACAGGTGCTTTGGAGCTTGAAAAAGGTTAGAGGAATTGTCAGATCAAACATTTAATGGCTGGGTCTGATAATTGGGGTATGTAGTAACACTGAAGTGATCACAGTTGTAATCTTAGCCTGAATAATCACCAGGCAGTCAAGTCTCAAAAATTTCAGCTCTACAACCAACATCCTGGTGAGGTAACATCAGAGCAGCTAGGTTAAAATGAAATTTAAACACATGAGCCCAGAAAAATAACCAGGTGTCATGGTGTCTGATACATTGAATTGGATCAAAAACTTAACCAAATCCCACTAAGGACTCAATGACAGGTGCAGCCTCTTTGGGTAAGCTGAAGATGATAAACCAGATCTTTTTATCTGATAAATCCAAAGTGGTATTCCAGAACAGTGACCTAGGCTGGGTTGATATATCCAGAAAAGACTATTTCAGGGAAGTGATATGATCATCTAGTTTGAGATGAAAATGAAGGATTGTATGATAAAAAATGTTGCCTCTTGAATTTATGGGCAGGATAGAAATCAAAAAGATACAACTTTCATTTAATCTGAGTTAACATAGGCAGCCACCATAGGAATTAAAATATTAGCTTGTGGGACTGTTGTGTTTCCTTGCAGGCTGACTACAGCTCAGAGGGATTTCTGGTAAGTTGGCTTTAATTGGTAACCTCTCTATTTCACCCAATGGCTTGGTTGAGCATTTGGCTATTTTGTGCATGAGACTCATTAACTTGCAGTTGACTCGTGAAAATATCACTCGCAGTGGAAAGATGAAACTTGAGAGGCTATAAGGAAATATTTGAATTGTTCAAAAATTATGACAGTGTTAGGATTAGAATTCAAAATGGAGTTGATCAATCAAGCAAAACAAATCATCGTCAAAATCAAGTCCATACAACAATATGTTTTGTCAATTAACGTCTTTCAGGCGAGTATCGAGCAGCATGTTAGGCTTGAATTGATATGATTGCATTAAAAGAGAAAATGGAGATACAATAGATAGGCTAATGGTTTTCCGCGTTACTTTCTCTCGACATATCTCCAACTGGATATTATTTTGTTTACCAGGTAATTTGGACCAATCCAGATTTCGTAATATCTAAGTACTATGTATGTTTTCATGGAAGATGGTTTGTCTAAAAACCTCCAAGGCCAGTTCTGGCCTTGAAAAAAAAAATCACGTCTCATCAATTGTTGGCTCTTTGGGGTTTTCCCTGAAAAACGATTTAAAAAAATGAATGCCTTACTTGTATGCTGGAATCTCGTGACCTGCCTTGTAGACTGTGATGTATGTCAACGGACCTGGCAGAGCATATGAGATGATTATCAATCATGACTGAATCACATAAGCTCGGAGGTACAACAATGATCATCAGAATTGAAATTTTACCAGCTTGCTTATATATCCCAACGATTTGCCCTTTAAGATGCAACTTAGACCATGGTGCTTTGCGAAATTCTTCCCCGTGTTGCCAGTTCATCGAACTGATAGAACGGTAGCCACCAAGTCTGATGTATCGCAGGAACATGAGTTTCTTAAATCAACTTGAACGATGCGTGGCAGGTTCTCTCCAGATATGGTTGCTATGGGTTATTTGAAAGCAGAAATTTCTCTCACGTGTTGCAAATAAAATCGCGGTCCTGTGACAGAATCAAAATGATTCTTGGTTATTATCTCTATCGAGGCAAACTCAGTAAGAAAGAACTTACACCAGCCCAGATCACTGTACGCAATCCTTTGTTCAGAAGCTTAGCAAGCGCTGGGGTCGAGGATCTAGCGGCATCTCCAGTTGTTGTGAAATCGTCATTGGGACTGGATCAAATGCATAAGTTGTGATGACGCTCGCAGGCAGAGAGATGAACATATGGGAAGACCAACGAGACAACTTACCCATCCGGACATTCGGTAAATTTTGATTCGGCGCCGATCGCGCTTGTTACTTGCGGAAGTGATAAATATTTAACATACTTAAATTGTAATGCAATCAGGAAAATTGACCTATCAGCGGGATTCCTGGGTAAATGACGGACAAACTCACCGATTCGGATGGGAAAGGATCCGACTTTGGATTTTCAACTGCAAAATATACCTTTCAGATTGGGATAATGATTCGGAAAGAAAAGAAACATCTTACAGTAGTACGGATTCCTACTGCCTACGGCGGGGTTTGACACGAATCGCGTGCAAAAGTCGTCGGCTTGTCGACAAATTGTGTTATTACCGGTGCTTGCGCACTGCTTAATTTGGGCAACACAACCATTGGGAGAATCCAACGCTTTCTTCATCTCAGCCAAGACATCTGGCTCCACGAGGTCCTCCACGTGATTATATTTGGCCTGGGCATAGTCGTAGTACGACGGATACTATTTGTTTCAAAAAAGTTTGGTCGATTGTCCGTCATTAATTTTGACAGGGATTGTCACGTAAAACGAAAGTCAGCGAAACCCTCAAGTTTTCCAATGGAAGCAGGGAATGTGCGAGGAAACTTGCATGATAGTAGGGATCGAACCAGCCGGTTGTCTGAAACCAAGTACCAAAATGTTTCCTGGGTTAACCAAGTCATTACCATCGATCAGGTTGAAGGGGTCATAAACTTACAATTCCCAACGAGGCTGGATGTACGATGTGTCCTTCTATCTTCTTAGATTTGATCAGGTCATTCTGATGCTCAAAGTACTAAATTTTGGAGGAGATTCAAGTTCAAATTCTCATAGAGTTAAGTGACTACACTGATCGTCAAGATAACTCAAAAAAAAAAAAAATCAAAGAAAACGCTGGCTTACTTCCGTGAACTTGGGGCCTGAAATTAAAAACGGGATCAGATACTCACTCATCCTTGCGAAAAATAATTAGTTACTAACCGTATTGGCCCCCATAGCTTTCAGTCCAAAAAGACAGCTCGCGGGATTCGTACGTTGAAAAATGGGGGATGCTGAACAAGTATTGAAAGAATTGCCATACACGATGCGCCGCTTGGTCTGTGCTGTAGACGTCGTGAACACCGTATGAGAACCCGGCAGGAATCGGCTAGAAAGTTGTTTTCCTTGAGTAAAAAAACATGGCAAGTAACACGAAGCAGTCTGACGGGAAAGATGGTCCCTCACTTGGTCCAAATAAAGAACATGCTAGGATGCATGATTAGGAAGACGAGAGGAAAGGTCAGTCGGCGGTAAACTGGCGCTTAAGACGGAAAATCAAAGCATCAATTTCCCTAGATGGACAAGAGCTAACAGCGTATTTATTCCATGAGTAAGGGTTCAAAGTCGTTGCGTTGCCTTGTGCATTGACTTTGCAAGGTCCATTTTCTTGGAAAGCTCCGATGAGACTGCTACACCCTGGACCTCCCTAGAAACAAATGGGTCAATATCATCAATTTAGAACATAAGCTAGAGGGGAATTGCGTACGTTCAACCAGAGAGTGAACGGAGCGCTCTGAGGGTTGTTACGCGCTTCAAAAAACCAAAAAAACAGCGAATGATTCTGAGAAATGTTGATGTAGCCGGAGTAAGTGTGAACTCCGGGCGTAGTTTCACAAATGTTGCTGTCAGCGATCAGCCGATAGGCACCTTGACCGTTAAGCTTCCCATGGTGCTTCTTGGTTGGCGACCTGGGAGCACAATCAGATGAGACACCGAATGCACTGGGATAAAGAACAGTGACCAAAAATGCCAAGAGATACAAGCGCATGTTATAGAGTGCGAAAAGGAAAGAAAGGCACCCTGGGTATGTGGATATAAATGCTGATTTGTGGAGGCCGAGAAGGAAAAGGTAGGTTTAAAGGTGGGTTTCTGAAGCCGCCCAACTTAGCAACGATTGTGTTATTAAAGGAATGGTGTGCAGAGAAAAGGTGTTCCCTGGTTGGTGCGCATAGATTATCGTTGGGGGTGAAGAGAGATGTGTGATCTATCTATGATTTAGACGTCAATGTGTGGTTGGTTGAAGGTTCTACAAGCTGATAGAGGCAGATAGAGGCCATGCAAAGCTGACTCTAGCTGGGTTGACGGCCTGCAGCGGTGATAAAATCGTGCTCCGCAGGGTATATGTAGATAATTATGCACGCACTCCGGGATGTCAGTCTGGAGATAATTTGGAAGTTCACCACAAGCTTGACCCATTGGGCTCCACCCTATAGTTTCAGCTGAACCAGCTCATACGGACCAGCTCACGAAGGTATAAATCGGATCGCCAATCTGACAACTGTGGCAAGATTAATTGCATGGCACATTGTGAGGTAAGATTGGGTAGCAAGGATGAACAATATGTATCTCCTCATGGCCATTTGCAAGTGGATTATTTTCTGCCCCTAAGGTGGAACCATGGGATGCTGACATGATGATAACACATGAATCAGCGAGGCACACGAGGACCCCGGAGAGCCCCTACCAAGCCGACTAATGTAAGAGGTAGCAAAACGTTTTTTTTTTTTCGAAATGTCCCTAATGTAAATCCGCAAAAAGCTAGCAAAAAAACATAGCAATTTGGGTCCACGAGTTGAAATTTATGCATGAAAGAATTAGGGAATTTTCACAAGGATGAAAGAAAATGGAAATTTATTCATGATAGGAAAATTGATTGAAAAAACTTTCACCCTGATGTCGGAGGTAGCATCGGATATCCCTAGGTAGCAAAAACCGGGATTTCGCGGGTTTCACATTAGGTGGGTGGGTAGGGGCTCTCCCGGGGTCCACGCAACTTTGATTCATATGATGAAGGCAGGGCGTGTTAGTAGAGCATTACTGGTTGCAGTGCTATGTGAGGATGGCCCACTAAGTTTTTGCTACATACCCATCGCCAGAGTCGGATATGGCGGGTCGGGGGGTCCGGTCGCGGATGTCGGAAGAGCCACGCCCACACGCGAACCCGGAGGAGGCCCGGATCGAAGGCCTCTTTTCGTGTCATCAAATTTTGCTCAGTTTTTCCATAGGCAGAATCTCCCCGATTGGCGTCACCTGTGACCCCTACTATACCCCATACTATAGACATGTACAGAAGGGGACACCAGACACCGTATACCGACCATCCCCCACCAAAAATTACGAACCCTGAGAATCCTTGGAAACCCAGAAAACCCAAGAAAATATCGGCCGCGAAGCGGCCGAATTTTTTTCCAAAGTCCCCTTCTCTAGCTGCCCCCTGGGACCTCTCAACTTTTGCTGAAGTACCCATCTCCTTTTACTGCAAAACCCCGGTCACACTACGACCTACCGGGGTCCGGCTCCTCTCCAGCGGCCACATCACTTGCTCCCTCGGTGTCATATCACCAGCCGTCCGGTCATAACACTTGCCACCGGCCCGACTGCCCCTCACATCACTACACCCTCTGGTGTTACAGTGATCAATTCTCATCACTTCACTCTCATCGATACACAACTCATCAGGCAAGACTGCCTTGATTCAACCCAGCCTACTGTCTCCTTAATTCAGCTCATCCCGAGTACACATTTTCACTTGAATCACAAATCAATCCCCCCCCTTTTAGCATCCTTCACCCCACCTTAAACCTTGAATCCAATGTTGTTCACTGGTGTCAATGCAACCCTCCCACTTCATCGTTGACTTGTCTAATGTCGTTCTGGACTGCCATGTTGATGTAGTTAAATTGTAGCTTACATAGCAAAATTACATAGCAAAAGCAAAAAGCAAAATCACAATCGATGATCTTGGGCTTGAGCGATGACTCATGTTGCGGCGAGGGGCTTCCACGGCAGCATTCTAGCCAGCGCTGTAGGCTCATGGCCTCCCACTCCACATTGAATGATGTCCTCAGCCGGCTGAAAAGGTAAAAAAGGGACTAGAACCAACTTAAGCAGCATCATGCAGACCAAAATTAATTCAAGAAGAGGAGTCAGATGTTGCAATTGGTTGGCAATCAAAAGACTCAAAGGGGTGATGCAGGTACTAAAAGGCTTGGAAGAAGAGGAGAGGCTAGTTCGCTCAGATGTTGCAATCGGTTGGCAAGCAAAAGAGATGAAGGTGAATTCCTCAAGCAAGGTGTATCTCATTAACTTAGAAAGGACACAGAGTAGCAATGGTGAAGGAGCAACAACGGAAAAGGAAGCTGGGAAAGGAGAAAAAATAAGAATCATCAAGGAGCAATGAGAGACCGGAAATGCTTTTGAAGCAGACATGACTTGGGAACAAAGGAGCGACAAGAACAAAAAAACTTTAATGGAAGAGACCGAGAGACAGGAAAGTTGATGAAGAATTTGCCAACCTGTTGAGTGCATCTGTTGCTGCTTTGTGTGAAACAGAGGTCAGACAAGGGCAGCAATAGCTGACTCAACAGGTGAAGGAGGGGTGTTGGGATCGGCTCCTGCAGACGACTCCCTGCTAGACTGAATGCGGATTTGTCTCCGAGGAGGACGATCCGACTTGTTGGACGAATCTTCTTCATCGAAGTGGTCATTAGTTGACGACTCGTTGGAAAAAGCGCGTTTCTGACGGTCAGGGGTGTCATCTTCCTCAGAAGAACTGCTCACTGAGGCATTGGGCCTCTTGCGGGCAGATCGGGGCTTACGGATGATGCCAACCCGACGATAGACAGCCTTGGTGGCCAGAGTTGTTTTCCTTGGGGGGCAGCGCTTTGAGCGAGTTGAGGTGGCTTCGGGTTCCGATCCGCTGTCGGTATCATCCTCCAAGGTGGGATCACGGCCAATTGAGGGGTTGTTTGATTCAGGAGGGCCTGTGATCTTCACCCATCCCTTCGAAAAAGCCAAGAGAATCCGCTGGGTCTGGCCGATAAACATATCTGAGGGTCGCTTGCAAAAGTCGGCTGCAGTGATGTGTTGATCGTTCTCTTGAACTGAGAGGGTGACGCCGAGTTTGCGCAAGGTTGCAGCAGTTTTGGTACCCGGCCATCCATTCTGCCAAGCCCCATGTGTAGCTTTGCTCAGTTCCTCCCTAAGCAGTTTACGAACCTCGGCTGCATTGGCCTTTTTGCTTCCTGTAGTTGGGAATTATTGGTCAGTATTGGGAGATAGAACAGGACATAAGCAAGGAGTTCAGGTAACTAGATCATAGGGACAGTTGGGATCGTCGCCATCAACACCACGACGTCTCTTCCTTGGATTGATTGAGGGGGGGTATCGGCCCGACACGTCCTTTACAGCCTGCTTCCCACTAACAAAGTTGAAGAACGAGTTGCACTGGTTTGTATCAGAGGCTAGAATATCGAGGAATTCCTCGGCCATGTGGCTGCCGCGAGTCAGGAGAACAGGTCTAACGGGGTCACGTGACGCAAGGACCAAATACCCCTCAACCTGATGAGCAGTACTAAGATTTCGGAGCTGAAAGAACAACCTAAAAATCAGGCTCTGATCTATTGAATGAAAGTGCGATATCAAGACTGCTGACCTCTCTTTGAACTTTGTGAGCCCAACGTTTAAGACTGAAACGATCACGAGGTAAAGTCCTGGGCACAGGTGCCAAAGTAGCTGACTCGGTCGGATTGTTCACATCTGGTGCGGTCGATTCCACATCATTGTGAGCAGGAAACGAGTCAAGATATTCTTGATCTTTCCACTGGGCTTGCTCCTCTCGAGTGAGCTGTCTCCAGAGAGCACCACACTGGGAGGCTCGCTCCTTTGATGATATGGTTTCTATTTGAAGAGCGCACTACCATCAGCTCTAGATGTGATTGAAATGAATAACACAGAACACTTACTATCGCGATTTATTGCACCAGCAACAGGGTCATATTTACAAAAGTTGTTGTAGCACGAGGGTCCTCGGATGCGAGCTTCATTGCCGAGGTAATCCAACACCGGCTTGATGTGAAGTTTATTCTCAATCGCAATCCGATGGACAGCAGACTGATATGCACGGTAAGCTGCATCAAGCTGAAGTTTGTCGGCTACCGTAAGACGTAGGTACTCGGGGTCTTTTGCAACGGTGCGGCGGAGCTGATCAAGTGACTGTTGGTTGACTTGCTCCATGGTTTCGGCGGACAGCTTGGACCGCTTGTGACGCCCTTGGAACCTAGTGAGGTCGACTTCAGGCGTAGGCGAGCGCTGATTTTGAACAGTAACCAAGGTTGCAGGTTGTGCAGCCGCTGCCGGTCCTTTCGAAGCTTGAGTGGAGCGTTTTTTCCGAGCGCGCTTGGTTTTAGCAACACCGGTAGGGTTGGGGAGATCAGGGAGCTCAAGCGGGGGTGGAATTGAAGGGTCACCTGTGTTAGATGGGGCCAATGAGCTTTGAGTCGAGGGGGTAGTTAGCACCCGTCTGAACAAACTAGCAGTTTGACCAGCCGGAGTTGCGGTTCCTGGTCCCTGCGGGAAAATCTCGGTGGTCCCAAAAGAAGCACTGGTGCGGTTGGTGGCAGTTGAAGCCACTGATGCGCCGGTTGCATCTGGGTTGGACTCGGAGTTGTCTTGAGGCCCCAAAGGCCAACTCGGTAAACTGCCAAACGTGATCTGGGATGCCATTGAGAGTGATGGTATGCGATGGTATTCAGCACTATCGAGGGGCACATGAACAAGATAAGGTGTCAGTTAGAATTTTTCACCCATTTGGACAAGGCTTTCTGCACACGTACCAGAGGTAAACAGTGGGAGAAGTGGTTGGAGGGGGTTTGATGAAAAACAGTGACGTGAGACACGGTATATGTGTGACAGAACAGCTGGAGGATGTTGGTAAGACCGTAAGGAAGGAGCTGGGGGAACTCTGCAGCGGGAAGGGGGGAGGTGTTTAAGTCAAGGCTGTGGTGTGAGGGTGTGAGATGTTCACTGTAATGAGACTCGTGAAACATTACCAATGGAAGGTTCTAGCTCATTCACAAGCGGTTAAGTTGTGGGTGTCTGAAGTTGGGTAGAACTGGGTGGGTTGTGGGTGGGTGAGAAGAAGGGCCATGGCTTCCTAGCACAGTGAAGTACAAAACAAATTTATGGCCAACTTTGCTCACTTCTGAGTTTCTGACTTTTTTTAACTGATGGATGCTAACCTTCTTACACAAGAAAACTGGAATGGTCACTCTATTAAGGAGACAAAATAAAGGTCATAATCTGTGATTTATAGATCAAATTAAGACTATTCTTTTTTGGCGGCAGGAATAGACAAGACTTTTCTTTTTTGGGGGCAAAAATAGACAAGACTATTCTTTTTTGGGGGTCAGAATAGATTCTGAGCCTCAAGGATGAATAGAGATTTTCTTGGATGGGAATATGGCTGAAGCACATTTAATTTGGCCAGGTGTGGGGTAGTAGAAATCTGTTCAAAATGAGTGCCTTGCAATATGTCAGGAAAGACAAGTATTCAGAATTAGCTTGAGATTACCCATGTTTTGATGTAGGATCACCTGTGTTTCTACTGGGAAATTTCCTCCCATCTAACAATGTGATACTATCAATGTGTTTATCTACATCTACCCTCTATGTCCAACCAACACCAATTATAGAGATATTAAAAAACGATCATACCAATATTACCGCAACCAAACCTGAGTTTTTCTGACTTTCAAAAAGCATAATTATTAAATCTGGTTTGGAAATGGGAACAGTTTCAGATATGAATGATGTGAGGGTGTAAACTTGTAGTGACAAACTGAGACTGAATGCAGTAAGGCATGTAGAAGCATGGATGAGTGAATAACTCAGGCCAATTCTTTTACTTGTTGTTGCTTGGATATAGAGATTGGATGTAGTGCCTACTGAGTATTGGAGGACTTCCCGTCACCTAAATCACTTGATCTAGCAGGGGGTGCTAAACTCTATTGGTTGGTGAAAACTTGATCTTGATCAATGGAGGACTTCCCGTCACCTAAATCACTTGATCTAGCAGGGGGTGCTAAACTCTATTGGTTGGTGAAAACTTGATCTTGATCAATTTTTGCCAGCAAATAAAGTTTAGGATGTCCTCCTAAATTAACAGATTCGGACAACAGGAAGGCCTCCATTACTAGCACATCACTTTTAACTGGTGGGTATGGACTGCTACATCTGATTTTTCACTCCCTTCAGATGGAATTCAGATCATTAGCTCTTGATTATTAATTCAAGAATATCATCTCAAAACAGGATCACTTTACCATCAATACATGATTATGACATTCATAACTCAGATAATGCTTACAACATGTGACTTGATGACTAAAAGGTAAAATCATTTATATTCTTAATAAATCATGAAAATCAATACTAGGCAGGGTTTCAGGTATCCAGAGTAATCTAGGATTTTCCCCAATGTTATTAACTCTTTGTTGGTAGCTCATTATTATTATTGACTCATTATGATTGTCAACTCATCATTATAATTAAATCATTATTGTAATTAACTAATTTCATTGATGATTCATTGTGTTTATTCTTGAATAATTGCACATGAGTGCAATGTTGAAGGTGTTATTGAGCCAAGACAAAATCATAAAAAAAGAAACAAATTGGCTTGTGCATGAGGTTCACACACAACAAAATCTGATTCAATCACATAACTCTTCATTATTAAATCTTCACTAAATCATGATTATCATCATTAACTCCACATTATTGATATTTTTACCAACTCAGTGAATTAATATAAGTATCTTCTCTTGACAATGATGGTCAAATGGTAGAATTAAAAAACTATGGAACTGTTCTGGGTTACACCAACACACTGATCAAGCAAGTGAGAAAAACTAGCAGAGACTAATCAGGGAAGAGAATCAAACTAGCAGAGGAAATCACTAATTGGAGTAAATAGTCCACAAGCTTCAAAAAAGGATGCTCTGGAATAGTGAAATGGCATCATGAAATCTCCTCCCCTTCTGACATCCACTCTTCATCTGCATCTTCTCCATCATCTAAACCCACACCTAATATTGCTTCTTCAAGGGCATCCTCAACATCATTTTGAGGTTGACTGAATGCTGAAAGAGTGGGAAACACAGTGCTTTGATCAACTTTGACCTTGTCAATCAATTCAGTCCATTGCTGAAACTGAGCACTGTTACCACTTGGCTGGCATTGTCTCCACAGGGAGTTTACCTGATCATTCCAATCCTCGATCAACTTGCCATGATCAATCAAAGATAACTTCAACTCTTCCTGCACCAATTCCAATTTACCAAGCCGGGAGACCACTCCAAAAGACAAATCGTCGAATCGATCAGTAGCCACATTCGGATCAGATTTCACAAGGTTGATACCTGCGCATAAATCAAAATTGCTTAAATATGTAATTAATCAAAACAAACAAATATACTCCAATTAACTCACGTGTTGTGATGTGCGCAATAGTCTCAGTTAGTTGTGAGTGGGTTGCAATGGCCCAACCAACAGCCCTGGCCAATTCCTGAGCAATGAGCTCAAACTCCTCTTGAACACGACGAAGGATTAGAATGCAGTTGATACCCGTTTTGACGTCTGGGTCGATTGACCAAGGGGCCTCCATATGGTGATACAAACCATCATTCCAAAATGGGTGATCCATTTCCCATTCAACAAAGTCATCGTATGTGAGAGGATGGTCGTGGGCGTCCGACAGATGCTGCTCGGGGTACTTCTGTTGGAATTGTTCGTATAGCCCATTGAACGTATCGATTATTTTCTTGACGGCTGGGCGTCGGTTCTGCAGTGCTTTAATGATGTTCTCTTTTCCTTGGGTGCCAAGATGTGATCCCATGATATGGGAATTTAGTAGAGGTTGCCGCTCTGCATGAATATGAACGGCTTGCACAAACAGCTCGGATTTGGCATCCCAGAGAAGCAGTCGGAGCTTCTCCTCCTCGTAATCTGATAAAAAAGCACAATGAGATCGATATTGTATGACAATCTCAGCTTGAAGGGCTCACCTCTGTTTGATCCCCCCTCCATTCGACCAGTGAGCTCAGCAATTTCACTTGCCAATGAGTCAGACTGTGCTACTATTGAGTCCATGAGCTCACGAACCTCAGCCACAGTGACCAAGAAAATTTCAGGTCCCTGTAAACGTTCCCTGAGGTGAAGTGTCAGACAGTTGTGATGATTGTGACTTTGATTGTATGCATACCTCATGTACTCAACAGTTGCTTCTCGCTTGTAGAGTGCCACAAGTTTGTTCCTACGGTCTATCTCGGCTTCCGTGTGCTCTGTGTGGAATTGCTGCTGGGCCTTCCATTGTTTCTTGAAGAAGTCGATTGTGAAGTTTTGGCCAAGCTGTTCGTGAGGGTTCCGCTTGCTTAGAAGAGTAGTCAGAGTTGATTGAGTTTCCTGTCGCCGTTTAATGGCCTGATGAAACTTTCTCCGGAGCCAGTAAGCTAAAGTTTAAGAAGATAAAATCCACATCAAAATCCAGCCTATCTTGCTTTGTTTACTAGTACAAAAGGACTTACGAAGCTGTTTGATTCCTCTGTTGTTGTGATGTTTTACTCGATGTGATATAGCAGCCAACCGATGATTGCGAGTGGCATACCTTAAGGGGCTGACAAGAGAGGAGAGATAAGACCAAAGCCTCTCAAGACCTTCACCATCTGACAACCCCCAGCCTTTATTGAATCTAGGATGAAATTCAAGTTGGCAGAGCCAGTTGTGGGCATAGGCATGGAAGACTGATGTTCCAAATTTAAGTTGGCTTCGATATTGTGGTATGAGTTGGCGCTGAATTATGAATCAAAAGAGAAGTCTTAATTATATATTGCAGCATCAGAAGCAGAGGAGAACACTACAAACACGATCAATATATTTATCCATTGTACATCCTATATCATACAATACTCCAACTTGACGGTTGGGCTCAATGTCGGAGAGAAGCTTCTTGATTATGGTCATCGGGAAGTGCCTCTGCTCGCCAGATTTGTATATGTTTGTCAAATAGATAGCTGCATCGTGTCGGCAGCAGCATCCCATTAGCCCAGTGTCGTCACATCCTTTCCATGTTGATTCATTACGTTTGTCGTCCGCCGCCTTGTGAGATTCTGTACAACGATCAGCCTGTGGAAATGAAAGGTCTCCTCAGTTTCATTCATAATATTCAAATAGAATGATCGCACCTGTTCAGGAGTCATTCCTTGAGCTTCTTGGTGCCGAATTTCTTGTGAGACAATATCGACATCTGCCTGGCTGATGAAAAATTGAGGTGTACGTAGTTTTTCGTGATTGCGACTAGCTTTGATTTGGTGACGGTGCTGGAAGTTGCCATCAAGACAAACTATAAGCCGATCGCGCATGTTGGCAGTATAATCAGACGAATTAGGGGGCTGTGGCCCAAAGCAAGCAGGGCAGGATGAGGAAGCCAATACTTCCTGGTTAGAGAGCCCCAACACCGAGAAGATTGACTTTTTCCGTTTCTCTTCCAGCTGTCGGAACATGTCAACTGCAGCTGAGAATGGTTTTCGGAGCTGTCTGGGCTATGAATTTAAAATAACACAAGGGTTGATTTAGTGAGACATCAATCTGTGTAAACAAAGATAAAGCTTACATGTTTTCCTTTTCGGGCACACAATCTCTGTGATCGAGGTTCAAGCCAATCGTTGAGGGCTAATGTGAAGGGCTGTGCACCTATGTGGCAGTGATTCCAGAGGCTGTTGTGGAAAATGAGAAGCGGGAGCGAAAAAGCAGTCTGTGGCTTGACTGGTGAGCCAGCAAGGTATCCTTGTTGTAGAAGCCTAACACCATCCATAGTGCATTCACAAAAGGTGACTTGCTTGCGTTGCTGACCTAGGTTATAGAATCATAGTTAGTAAAATTGTTGGAATTCATGGTAGAAATATAAAACTTGCCATGTATGTCAACCAAATCAACCAAGCGATTGTACTTCTTTGAACATGTTGTCAAGCAGCTAGAGAAGGTATCATAACTATTAGTAGATGACCAATTTTTGGTCACTATTCGTAGCCGCATGTAAACAGGCAGGAGGTAGTTGATGAGTACAGTCCAATTAAAGTCACGCGCTTGTTGACGATGTCGCTCTTTGTCGGCTGCAATCAGATCGTCAATCTCGTCTGGCTGTTCTTCAATCAAGTCAACCCATACAGGGGCCTGTTCAGTCTCGTCTCCACCTTCGTCTGCATTGGTGTCTGGTCGGTCCTCTTGTTCATTATCTTGAAAGACATCTAACGATCCAGTCAGATGATCCATGACATTGTCATTTGGTTCGTTTGTGGGCCTTCGTGCTCGTTGCCCATCGTTAATTTCAGAACTGCGAAGTCTTGACAGATTGGCAGCGATTCGACTTGCGTAGATACGACGACGGACTTGCTGCGTGCGGTCGGTGCCACGAACAGAGATACGATGGATAGCCATTAACGGATGATTTGTTCTAGAGAGGTTGGACATGAAATGAGGAGCATCAGTTCAGCTATAACGTTGAGATGCTTATGAAATGGGGGACTCACCTTCGTGCGATGTTTATTGTGGGAAGCGTGATGGGAGGAAGTTGGAGAGGCCCTTAGCGATGGAAGGTGAGGTAGACTTGTGTTCCTGGGCTGTGAGGTGAGTCGACTGGTGCGAATCGGATTCTCGAGGGTGAATCAATGAGTGATGAGTGATGAGCCGAGTGAGAAGTCAGACCAGAGTCGTACGTTGTATGTAGGCTGAAACACCGATAAGGGTTGGTCGTATGAAGCTGGCCGGGCCGGGTGGCAACTCGGCGAGTGTTATGACCGGAGCGCTGGTGATATGACTCCGGGTTGAGGAGTGATGTGACAACGTAGTGTTACAGCGGCGACGGGGGTCTCGACTCTCTGGAGAGATGTAGCACTGTACAGACCGGGGGTCTTGGGGCAAAGGGTGGGAAGGGTCCCAGGGGGCAGCTAGAGAAGGGGACTTTGGAAAAAAATTCGGCCGCTTCGCGGCCGATATTTTCTTGGGTTTTCTGGGTTTCCAAGGATTCTCAGGGTTCGTAATTTTTGGTGGGGGATGGTCGGTATACGGTGTCTGGTGTCCCCTTCTGTACATGTCTATAGTATGGGGTATAGTAGGGGTCACAGGTGATTGGCGTGTTGATGTATCTACTTGGAACTGCTTAAATACATACATAAGAAGTTCACCTCGGATGTCGTTTGCGCTGTTGAGCCCAACGACTTGCTCTTTGCCCACATATTTAAAAAGGATCATTTCGATTGGGTGCACTCCATACCAAAGTCGTGGATTGTTGACAAGTATTCTAGCAGGCTGTTCTGATGTATCTCAGTACCAAGGATCAAGATAAATTGCTGCTCACGACCACCGGGTTCCTGGCACAGAGGAGACTGGCTAGAGGAGTCCGACTCAATTTGTCAGAAGCGACGGCCCTGATAGCTTGTGTTTTACAGGAGTGAGTGAGCGAGTCTGCAAACTGCTTTTCCTCTTCTGGCTATCTCTCTGATGAGTTGCTCATGGTACGCCTTGATCTGACATTCTGAACAACCAGGTTGATCCGGGATGGCCAATCGTCGGTTGCCCATGCTCATGCAGGTCGGAAAAGAAATCTTGGGTTTCCGTCATGTCCAGCCCTCCGTGCCCGGCTGCTTGTCCGATGTCCAAGTCGAGGGAACTTTGCACGTCGCCTCAATCTCTCCTTAAGAAAACCTCATTCGCCCTCATGTATATCCAGAGCTCAACTGACTCTATAACTGTCTGCGTTTCACCAACAGCCCGGATGGGACCTTCCTTGTAACCGTTCATTCGCCGATTTGCAGTCCGAGTGGTCGGGAGCCGCATCTTTCGCTGGCGCTCTACGGCTCTTGCATCACCCCTGATCCCGACGTGTTCTTTGATCATGTCCAGCCGTCCTTGGAGCATGATCTACCGGGGGCGATTGTGGTCCAACGCCCGACTGATTCCTCGACCTCACAGCACATTAGCCTCAACGTTGGCCGAGCGCGAATAAGGATAAAGGTCACCAATACTGGCGACCGACCTATTCAAGTCGGCTCGCATTATCATTTTTCCCTCACCAATCCAGCCTTGAGATTTGATCGCAAAATCGCTCTGGGTCATCGTCTCGATATCGCTGCAGGCACTTCGGTTCGCTTCGAGCCTGGTGACCAACGAATGGTCACTATGGTCGAGATCGCTGGGAGTGGTCTAGTAACCGGCGGCAATGGTCTGGAAGGCCAGATTTTGCAGAAAGATGATTCCCTCGCCGTTGCAGCGCTCATTGACAGTTTGGTAGCCAAAGGTTTTGAGCATGAACCAGCTATCCACGTTGAGAGACCTCTTAAAGCATTTGAGATGTCAAGGGAGGCGTACGCTAAGTGAGCTTATCAACTCAGCTCGATAATATCCTTGTGCAACACATCCCAATGTTTCCTTCAGGAATTGATGCTGGGTTTTATTTAGCATGTTCGGACCAACAACGGGTGATAAAGTTCGTCTCGCAGATACATCCCTTTGGGTCGAAGTTGAGTATGACCACACCTGCTATGGCGAAGAGCTCAAGTTTGGCGGAGGCAAAGTGATCAGAGAAGGCATGGTAAGAACAACTTTTTCCCGAAATTTCTTTGGCTAGTCAAAGAACATTTCAATCACAGTGTTCTTCTCAAAAACCAGGGTCAAGCTACAGGTCGGCGGGATGCTGAGACATTGGATACAGTGATCACTAATGCGCTAGTTTTGGATTGGTCTGGAATCTACAAGGCAAGGCAGACATGGCATATTGTTCAAATCAAGTTCTGAGGTTAACTTTCTCCGTGTTTTTCCAACTTGGTATAAATAGGCAGACTTAGGCATCAAGGATGGCCGAATCTCAGGGATCGGAAAAGCTGGAAACCCCGATATTCAGGCGGGCGTCTCTGATCAGATGGTCGTTGGTGTGAATACTGAAGTGATTGCCGGGGAAGGAATGATCGTAACGGCAGGTGGGATTGATGCTCACGTCCATGTGAGTTGTCTGCGCACACCCGATATGTTTTGAGCTTATTCATGGCTAATATTAGTATTATTATTTTATTTTTTTTGGATTGTAGTTCATATGTCCCCAGCTATGTCCGGAAGCCCTCTCGAATGGTATTACAACTTTAATCGGCGGTGGTACTGGCCCCGTCGCTGGAACCAACGCAACCACTTGTACGCCATCCCGAACCTTGATTGTAAGTCAGCTTCAATGTGTTGGAGTCCCTTTCTCATCCTCGCCGAGACCTTGTGTTTCAAGCTGATCATGAAATTGTACACCAGAGAAACATGCTTTTGTCGACTGATGATGTACCCATGAATATCTTACTAACGGGAAAAGGTAACGACTCTAAGCCGGAAGGATTGGTGGATCAAGTCTATTCGGGAGTAGGTGGCTTGAAGTTACACGAGGTCTGTCCCAAAACTTCAATTTTCCTTCCCGCCCCAAACCTTGAGCCATTTGAAAAAAGAAAAATACATCAGATACTCGTTTTTCATTAATCATCAATCACTTTTTCTCTAGGATTGGGGTTCCACTCCGGGCGCGATTGATTCTTGTTTGAGTGTTTGCGAACAATACGACATTCAGGTATACTTTCCAAGCTGCATAATTTTTTTGCATTCCTAAAATAGTGAGATCCTAATCCTAATCTGGTCTTGTTTTGAAGTGCAACATTCACACAGACAGTATGTGAACCTTCAAGCGCTTTGATAAGAGTCCTACTGCTGATTTGTCGATCCACACCAGCGCTTAATGAATCAGGTTTTGTCGAAGATACAATCAAGGCATTCAAAGACCGTGTGATACATACGTTGGTACCCCTTTTGAGATTTGATTAATGTAATCTATTAATCGATTGTTCAACACAGATATCATACCGAAGGTGCAGGGGGAGGCCATGCTCCAGACATTATCGTCGTCTGTGGCAAGGATAATGTGCTTCCGTCATCAACAAATCCGACCAGACCGTTTACCAACAATACTCTCGATGAACACCTCGACGTAAGCAAAGTGCTACAGCTTACACAGATCAAGTGTCTATGTTTTCCAGTGTGCTCATGATCGGCGACTTTCCAGATGCTGATTGTCTGTCACCATCTTGACAAATCGATTCCGGAAGACATCGCGTTTGCCGAATCTCGTATCCGCGGTGAGACGGTCGCCGCTGAGGACGTCTTACATGATCTTGGTGCCCTTTCAATAATCAGCTCAGATTCACAAGCGATGGGAAGGATTGGCGAGGTGATTAGTCGGACTTGGAGGACGGCTTCCAAAATGAAAGATTTCAAAGGTTTCTTGACTGAGGAAGAAAAACTTCGTGGGATTGATAATGATCGCGTGAAACGCTATATTGCAAAGTATACCATCAATCCGTAAGTCAAGCTCCTCTCTCCCAAAATCTCGCAGGAAGCAATCGAGTTTTGACATTCAAATTCACTTTCAACATCCAAGTGCGATTGTCCACGGTATTTCCCAGGAGGTTGGGGACATTTCGGTAGGGAAGCTTGCGGATCTTTGTATTTGGAAGCCTGAGAATTTCGGGGTCAGGCCAGAACAGATCATCAAAGGAGGCTTTGTCGTATGGTCACAGATGGGCGATGCGAATGCGGTAAGCTTTCACGTTTTGAAATTCTTGATATTCAATCACTTCAGGGAAGCTCGATTTGTTGATAATACATTCATCAATCTACAGTCTATTCCAACGGTTCAGCCCACTTACGGAAGACCCATGTGGGCTTACCATCCGAGCACCATTGGTCAAACTTCTCTAGCGTTTGTTTCTGAAATCTCAATCTCATCTGGGATCACGCCTTCGTACGGCCTGAAAAAGAAGTTGGTGGCCGTCAAAGGCTGCCGAAAAGTTAGGAAGACGGACATGAAGCTCAATGATTACTGTCCTAATATTACGGTTGATCCTGAGACTTACCAAGTGGCCATCGATGGAGTGGAGTGCACGGTTGGAGCAGCGCTTACTTTACCACTCACACAGGCGTACCATTTTTTCTGAGCAAAGCCTAATTGGTCTCTTTCTTTATCTATGTCGATTTTTGTACCATCAATCTGGCTTCCAGCTTGACTACGGTCTCATCTTGCAGTTTACTTAAACCAACAAAAAGAAACAAACTCTGATGTGTTTCAATTTCAGTCGTAGTATCCTTTCATAGTCGTAAAATGTATCAATGCTCTTGAATAATTTCAATTCGGCTTTTATTGTTTTGTTTTTGAAAAAGCCAAAATGTATTTTGATGGCCAACTGCACTGACATACTTCCGGGTAAGTTTTCTGCGCGGAAGGGAGCAGTGATGGAGAGAAGCAAGGTGTCACAACAATAATACTTACAACAGCTGGGAGGGCGAATACACTTTACATGCAATCCGGAACTTCTCCTCTGACCTTGGTCATGATGGAAATCAAATTGGAATCGATAGTACGAACTTCCTTTGGGACGGCATGGCCCTGCCGGCTGCAGCCTCCCTTCGGACGGCGTACAATGGCGACCCCGAGGACAATTCCAGGCAGGAGAGAAGGAAGATAAGAACATGGGCTTGTGGTTAGTTCGCAACTTCGCATCGAACCCATTGGGCAAGTTGAAGTGAGCCAACTTTCGAAAGATCCGTGAAGCCAAACGTTGAAAGCGCCGCCGTGGTGATCAGTGTACAATACTTTGCTTCAATCCTCTTCTGTTCACTCTGACGATCATACAGTTTTTAGTCCTCTTCCCGCCCAGCTTCTAGCTTCCCCCCTCTGTATCTTCTCTTCAATATTGTCCCTCTTTGTACAATGTCTTTATGTGTTCCATGGAGCAGAAAATGGCCAAAACCCACCTGGCTCATCCATCAGGCACTTCGAAGTAAAGACGCCCTTGTGGTGGCAAAAGAAGTGTGGCAGTGCGGTGCTTGGGCGCCAAATCGGACAAACTCTTGAGAATGGCCACTCCATGGAACATAGACTTAAGTAACTGCACAGAAAATGGCTAAATCCAATTCACCACTTAGCGTGATCGTTGAGCGCCGTGTGGAAGAGTTTTGTGCCCTTGGATGTATACTGTATAACCTGCGGGATGTAATCGTTTCTTCATTCTCAGTTTTCTTTTTGAACAGAGGGCTCTTTTCTTTTTCCTGATCTCCTCGAAGAGCCTTGTTTCTCGCATACATAAAGATACCTGACCACTTGCCAGTTCTGTCAGCTCCCAGACAAGAACGATAAAATTTGATCTTGATCCAATCTTTTGAGTAGTTCATCCAAGTTAGTCATCCCCCTCCAAATTTACAGAACAGTATAATATTCTTTAACTAACTACTTACAAAGCAGTACCAAATCGAACAGAAAAGCTCAGGGTGGTCTTCAACTACGCCTGTGGATTAGAGTCTATTTCGAAAGGCAACTACAAGAAAACGAGGCGTGAAAAATGAAGTCGATTGCAACCTTTTTAATCGCTTGTGTCTTGGCTTGTTTCCCAGCTGGCAATGGTAAGCTTTCTTTGATTCAATTGAAGGTCCAAAGCTTCCAGTGCTGTTTGATTCCTTTAATCCGATTACTGCCCAAAATTATCTTCTCGTGATGTTGTTCTAACCCCTAAATTCAAAGTGGTTTTGTCCACCCAGACAGTGGCATGAAAAGATACATGTATCGATCACTAACGCTTGTCCATTTCTGCCTCAGCACGACCGATTGGTCCCCTCTCTAACGCTGGTCTCATCGCTCCTAAGATGACAGGTCGAACGCCTAATCTCGTTCCTTCGCGCCCGCGATTTGGTGATCGGTATCTCAACCGAGATAATATCTATAACTAGAAACTGGTGGAATCGTAGGCAGCGAGGGCTGACCTATTCCGATGAGGTCTTGGCTTCTTATTTCTTTGGAAACATCCCCTTACATAGTATCTGTTTATCGATTTCTCGGATTCATTGATCTCCAAGTTTTTCACTTCTTCACCTCATCTTTCATCTTTCATTTGGCGAAAAAACTACCTTATATCTGTCTAAAATCAAGTTCTTTACAATTTACACTCTTTTATTCAGTTCTACTTGATCATATACCCCGATTAGGAACCTCATTCATATTTATTTCCTTATATACGGCTTGTAAAAATTAAACTGGTTTTCTGTGTCTATATTAATGCAACCTATTTTGAGAGATTCAAATCTATACAAATGCGTCATCGATCCTAAATTCAATAGCTGCTAAGGAGTTTTATTCTGAGTTGCATATTATCCACCGCCGACGCGGTGAAGATATATGTCCGGAAGAGTGGGTGCATCAAGCGAGGTTGGATGGGCGAAAGGAACCTTCTGCCATTTTGACGACTGTGATAGTATCGAGTCGGTGTTTTCTTCGCCACTAGCCGACAGGAGGATAGACCAGTTGAAAAGTTTGGTCTTCAGTGGACCATAGTCTATTGAGTACCCTAAGCCATTGTCACAACTTGGAAAGAAGACATTCAAGCACATGAACACATATTAGATATATTGAATAATAATCCGTTATCACTAGGCTTGGACAAAAATTTTACCTCTGTGAGTCGGAATTAAACCAGTGGCCTCTTTGCGGTTTGTTTGCTTGGCATTCGCTTTTTCCTGGGAAATATCAACAAGAAACGTGGCGACAGGTTCCAATCTTCACATACCTCTTTACCGGAAGCATGGGGTGCAGAAAGCTAGAAAGACCCATCCAGAAGCTCTTCAGGCCTTTGCGCTCCGGAATACTAAAGCTTTCCGGACCAAATATCTGCATTCGACGCCAAGCGGTCATTCTGACGGGGCATCAAGACAAGTCTTGAAAACACCGCGACGTTCACTACCTGATAAAGCACTTGATTCTGTTGTTGGTAAGCTAGTAAGATCTACTGTTTTTTGTACAGTGGTAATATGGGCCGTAGAAGGGCAGGACAGTCACTTTTTAGACCATTTGTGGCATTGTTTTGATCAACCTCTGTTGTTGGAAGGTAAGCCGTTGTCGTATTCAACATTGTACTAATGGGCTCTGATAAATAGCTTTGGAGAATGAGTATTCAGACACGGATTATTATTCTCAAATACAGATAGGAACACCCCCACAAACCTTCAACGTCGTACTAGATACGGGTTCGGCCGATCTTTGGGTTGCAGGTACGCGCGTTTCCAAAGCTAGCTTCCCCCCTCTGTATCTTCTCTTCAATATTGTCCCTCTTTGTGGAATGTTTTTATGTGCTTCACGGAGCACATAGACTCAACAGCATAGAAAATGGTCAAAACCCACCTGGCTCATCCATCAGGCACTTCGAAGTAAAGACGCCCTTGTGGTGGCAAAAGAAGTGTGGCAGTGCGGTGCTTGGGCGCCAAATCGGACAAACTCTTGAGAATGGCCACTCCATGGAACATAGACTTAAGTAACTGCACAGAAAATGGCTAAATCCAATTCACCACTTAGCGTGATCGTTTTGCGCCGTGTGGAAGAGTTTTGTGCCCTTGGATGTATACTGTATAACCTGCGGGATGTAATCGTTTCTTCATTCTCAGTTTTCTTTTTGAACAGAGGGCTCTTTTCTTTTTCCTGATCTTCTCGAAGAGCCTTGTTTCTCGCATACATAAAGATACCTGACCACTTGCCAGTTCTGTCAGCTCCCAGACAAGAACGATAAAATTTGATCTTGATCCAATCTTTTGAGTAGTTCATCCAAGTTAGTCATCCCCTAGCAAATTTACAGAAGAGTACAATATTCTTTAACTAACTAATTACAAAGCAGTACCAAATCGAGCAGAAAAGCTCAGGGGGGACTTCAACTACGCCTGTGGATTAGAGTCTATTTCAAAAGGCAACTAGAACAAAACAAAGCGTGAAAAATGAAGTCGATTGCAATCTTTTTGATCGCTTGTGTCTTGACTTGTTTCCCAGCTGGCAATGGTGAGCTTTCTTTGATTCAATTGAAGCTCCAAAGCTTCCAGTTCTGTTTGATTCCTTTCGGTTCCTGCCCGAAAGTTTCTTCTGGTGTCGTTCTAACCCCTAAATTAAAATCACAGTGGTTTTGTCCAACCAGAGAGTGGCATGAAAACATACATGTATCGATCACTAACGCTTGTCCATTTCTGCCTTAGCACGACCGACTGGTCTCATTTCTTACGCTGGCCTCATATCTCCTAAGATGACAGGTCGAAGGCCTAATCTCGTTCCCCCTGTACCCCATCCGCGCCCGCGAGTAGGTACTTGGTATCTCAACCGAGATGCCTCTGAGTTTAACTAGAAACTGGTGGAGTCGTGGGGAACGAGGGCACGGATGGAGGACGCACCTACAGATAGAACCTCGATATCTGCGACCCATTGACCTATTCCGATGACGTCTTGGCATCCTGTGTCTTTGCAAACATCCCCCTAGTATCTTTTTATCGATTTCTCGGACTCATTGCTCTCCAAGTTTTTCACTCCTTCACCCCATCTTTCACTTGGCGAAAAAACTCCCTATCTGTCTAAAATCAAGTCCTTTACAATTTACACTCTTTTATTCAGTTCTACTTGATCATAAACCCCACTGAACCTCATTCATCTTTATTTCCTACATATACGGCTTGTAAAAATTAAACGGGTTTTCTGTGTCTATATATTTATAATACAACCTATTTTGAGGGATTCAAATCTATTCTATTGCGCCATTGATCCTAAATTCAATAGCTGCTACATAAGGAGATTTATTCTGAGTTGCATATTATTCACCGCCGACGTGGTGAAGATATATGTCCGGAAGAGTGGGTGCATCAAGCGAGGTTGGATGGGCGAAAGGAACCTTCTGCCAATTTGACGACTGTGATAGTATCGAGTCGGTCTTTTCTTCGCCACTAGCCGACAGGAGGATAGACCAAGGATGAGTTAAGTATGCAACTCTTGTTTCCTAATCTTGCAAGCCCCATAGAGACAATCTTGTCATCGTCTCGAGACTCATCCTTTAGCGGTGGTGTTGCGCTTGTGGTTAGGCTATGCTCGATTTCTCTTGAGTTTGTCTGTGGCACTCCGAAGCGACTCAGTTCAGTCCTGCCGCGTGAGTTGCTTGTTGGGCTGCTTTCTGGCTTCTTTCCCAACTCTGGAGCTCTCGTTTCAGCAGACTCGGTTTGAGAACTAGGCTCAGCCGACGTGTAACCTACACCAATCTGATGATTCTTGATCACCTCGCATCCAACGGCTACCGTTTTCTAAAGTTGCACCCGATTCTCTTCTGACGAATGTTGAATGTTTCGGCTCGGAAGATTTGTCTCGATTCTGAGGGCATCGGTGCACCTGAATCACTCCTCACAAATCCATCGCCATAAACGTTTTCGATGCCTTGAAGGCTATAAGTTTGGTCTTCAGTGGACCATAATCTGCTGAGTACCCCAACCGATTAAGAAGACATTCAAGCACATGAACACATATTAGATATATCGAATAATAATCCGTTATCACTAGGCTTGGACAAAAATTCTCTCTCTGTCAGTTGGAATGAAACCAGTGACCTCCTTGCGGTTTGTTTGCTTGGTATTCGCTTTTCCCTGGGAAATATCGACAAGAAACGTGGCGAAAGGTTCGAATCTTCACATACCTCTTTACCGGAAGCATGGGGTTCAGAAAGATAGAAGGACAAATCCAGAAGCTCTTCAGGCGTTTGCGCTCCGGAATACTAAAGCTTTCCAGACGAAGTATCTGCATTCGACGCCAAGCGGTCATTCTGACGGGGCATCAAGACAAGTCTTGAAAACACCGCGACGTTCACTACCTGATAAAGCACTTGATTCAGTTGTTGGTAAGCTAGTAAGATATATTGTTCTTTGCACAGTGGCAACATGGGCCGTAGAAGGGCAGGACAGTCACTTTTTAGACCATTTGTGGCATTGTCTTGATCAACCTCTATAGTTGGAAGTTAAGCCGTTGTCGTATTCAGAATTGTACTAATGGGCTCTGAAAAATAGCTTTGAAGAATGAGTATTCAGACACGGATTATTATTCTCAAATCCAGATAGGACACCCCACAAACCTTCAACGTCGTACTAGATACAGGTTCTGCCGATCTTTGGGATGCAGGTACGCGCGTTTCCAAAGCTTACTTTCGTTGTTTGTTAGACTGAGATAGAGAGATTGACTCAGATTGACATGTTCATTATGTAGGTAGAGAGGTCGCAACCTTAAGCGGAAGAGGCGGGGTGGAGTTATCAGCATCATTCTACATCTCAAATTCTTCCCAACCCTACCAGAGTTCTAATGAGAGGTTCCGAATCACATATGGCTCGAGATCTGCTTCTGGTATCGTGGGTATGGATCATATCCGCCAAGGTCCATACTCCTCTTTCGCTCAAAAGTTTGCTATTGTCAAAAACATTTCATCTTATTTGCTAGCTGATCAAATATCAGGTGGGTGGGGATCTTTATTCTGGCGCAATGTGTCCCTAACTTTATTGACAGTTTTACAAAATTCATTCCCTAACATATATTGGTAGGTATCGTTTTTTTAAACAAAGCCCCACTTTTCTTCTTTGGGGGGACGGGCGTACTGCCAATCGCCCACCTTTGTGAGAATACAAATAAGAAAGCGAAGCATGTGCGACCTCCAATGAAGCTGTTTGATCGTCTGAAGGGAAGAGCGATCAGCGTCAAAACGTAACAACGATTCAAAC